GCGTGTTGTCATGTTCTTTGGCAGCATCTGATTGTGCCAAGGAAGGTATAGCTCCTCCAGATGTCAGCTATTTAGAGACACACACCAGAAGTTCTGTGGACAACAAATGATTGAATCCCACCAGGATGCTTTTCTTGGCAAGACAAGAAATGGGAGTGAGTGGGTGAGCCTGTGTGTGTTACTGTGCAGGGTGGGATGGGCCATTACAAATATGGGAGATAAGGAGAAAAATGAAGATGGATGGTGGTAAAAATACCTGCTAAATGCCAGCTGTCCCATTTGGATAGAGTGGGATTTTTGCCTGGTTGTCTCAGTGCTTTGTCTAGTGTGATTTTAACCCTATTTTACCGTGATTTATGTAACCTAAGCTATGATAAGCTCTGTATAAACATCTGGATATGTATTATTTTCAGCCTGTAACTAGTGGCCTGAGAAAATTCAATAATGAGAGTGATCTGCTGCAATACAGCTTGCTGGGAAAAAAAAAAAACAAAAAAACCCAAAAAACTAAAACCAAACAACAAACAAAACACAAATTATTAGATCATCCTTTGTTGAAAACAGAAGTTTTTTACAGCTTTATTCCTTAGATGAAAATTTTGTTAAAAGTATTTTACAGCTCAGCATTCTTTCTGGGGATGGGTCAAAGGGTTTCAAAGAACCCACAAATAATTAGACAGCTTGGGGCTTCCCTCAGAGGCCACCCATTTCCCTGACAGAAGTTGGAAATGTGCTGTTCTACTGGTGTTGAAATTTACACTTGTGTACTATTTTCTTCTCTCCTCTAACTTCATTAGATAATTGATTTCTCTTTCCAGTGCAAACTTTGTTCATTGTTTGGCTCTGATACAGAAGCAATGTTTGCAGTGTGGAAGAGCAGCATTCTACCTTTTGGGGTCTAGCTGGTCTAGGTCCTGCTGCCAGTGCAAGATGAAATCTCCCATTTCTAGAGGAGAATAATGCATGATCAAAGGGGAATGGAATTACTCAATTTTGAAGGATTCCTTCTGGACCATTCTGTACAAGTGTGGAAATGCAGTGTTATTTCTGTCTGCTCTTATGGGGAAACCATGCTTCTACAATCACTCTGTTTGACCATCACCCTTTGGTTGCCTGGCCGGCAGCCACCACATTTACAGGAGCATTAAAGCCCCAGAGATACTGAATTCCTCCAAAACCTGTTCCCCATCCCTGCTGGGGTGTAAGGGCTGGCCCACTAGCTGGCAGGCTTGCAACTCTGAACCTGCATCCACACTGACTACCTCTTCCTCAGCCAAAGCAAGACATGGGAAGGAAAAGAAATGAAAGGTGTTACAGTGGGGTAAGGAAATAGGACGAAAACCAGAGCACATCAGAGGAGAGAGTGTGAGAGAATGCAGGGGGAACCAATGGTCATGTGGTGACATTGTGGTGAGCAAGGGAGGGCACACACAACACAACAAAGGGGAATCATAAAGCCTCATTTCCTAATCAGCTTTTTCTGCAGTTCTGCTGCTTGTAGAACAAACATTTTTTAGGTAGCCAGGAATATCAGATGCCCTTGTTTTATCTGTCTGCTGCAACATTTCTGGTGATAACACCTAGTGTAGGGGCTGGTAGTGGGTAAGTAGTGTCTCAGTGCAAGAAAATGTGTTATACAGAGCACCTGTATATCTGCTTGTTCTGTTGATCACATGCTGCTTTCTGTCTCTTTGGGGTTTTTTTGGTAGCTTGGGCTGTCACAAAATAGCTACCTTCAGATTTCTGTGCAGGAGAAGATCAGAATGCAGAGATAAAGACAGCAACAAAATGATTCACAGTTAGTCATCCTGCAGACCACTCACATTTCTTTCACCCTCATATACCCACCATACTTCTGCCAGTACCCCGGACGAGTCAGTGGCAGACTGTGTGTTGCCATCCTGAGTGCTCACTTTAGGTGACTAATAAAATGGCAAGGGGGGGTGAAATGTGGCATCTAATTAAAACTGTGCAGACCTAATTATAACTTAAGGGGTTACTTAAGAGATATATTGGTCCAGGGTGCAGATGGCTTTTGTATGACCAATTCAAACTTCATATGAAAGACGTAAAGAAGTGTGGTTCTTCAAGTGAGTTCCCTCTACAGGTTATGCCAGGCACTCTGCTATTTTCCATTTTTTTTTTTCTTTTTTGTTTCTTCTGTAGCTGTCCTGGGCTGATGGGCTGGGGAGGAGATAAAGAGGCTACAGGGGAGAGAGCAGAGCAGAAATGTGTGTGCTCTTGTGCATGCACATGTGCTTGTATGCATCTAAGTGTAACCCCTGCATTGCTGGTTTTATTTTTTTCCTTGGCCCTTTACAATGAGTAGCTGGATTTTTTGTTAGCTCTGCCCAATAGATAATACATCCATGTTGGTAGCAGTTCATGCCTAATCTGTTGTATACAGCCTATCATTGAGGGAGTTTGCTACTCCTTACCTTTGTTTCCATGTCCCAATTTGCATGGCCGCCTGGTCCTTAAGGTCCTTGTACTCCTGGTAACTGTACTTGCTCTGGTAGTGTTTGCAGCTCCAGTGGGATTTTGTTGTGTGACGTGCCTTCCCTCCCATTTTGCTCAAAGACTACAGCGCTGGGTAAAGGGAAGTGTTCAGTTTGAGGAGCTTGGCTTTTTGCATCCATGTGAATACTATGAAGACTCTGAATTACATGTGAGTTGGAGGATATGACAAGTCAAGGAAACTGCTGGGGCCTCAGGAGACGTGCAGTTCTGGGGAAGCTTGTGTAGGTGGAGTTTGAGACCCTGGGGAGTGACAGGAGAGGGAGGTGCTTCACAAAGAGAGAGATGTTTTTAAAGCGGTTCGTGCTCCTTATTCTCACTATTATGCTTTTGTTGAGCCTCTCTGCTGGAGACCAAGTATCCCAGTAAGGTCCCTGATCAGTTGCTGCAAATGGACCCAGAGTGTATTCTGCTTCCATCTCTTTGATTTGTTTGTGTGGGTGCATTCCATGCCTGGAAGCCAGGGCCTGTCCTTGGAAGTATTTCATATATCAGCCGGGAACAGGTAGCTGATGCTGTATGACTACTCATTTCAGCATAATACTGCAGTGACCAAAGCTGCACTTTCTGCTTTTAAAAATCTCAGTGCAAAAGGCCTAGGAGCCTGTGGACCAGGGCTTAGTGGTATTTTCCATTAAAAAATATATAATTCCGTTACAAAATATATAACTGGGAGTACATTGCAGGGTGCCAATATGAGCTCTCCTTCTATGCAAGAGGGGCAAACACCTTATAGAGAATGTAAAAAGGAGTTTTATCAATAAGATACATGAAATAATTATTCTGGTGTATGCAGTGCTTATAAGACTTTATCTGAAGGACTGCATCCAGTCTAGGACATTGCACTTCAAGAAAAATGTGGATACTTTGAAAAAGTCTCTAGGAAACCAGCAATAATGAGTGGAGTCTAAATCCCATACATTTCTAAGGAACAATAGAGCAAATGCCCTAGTCTAGGGAGGAGGGACATAGCAGAAGTCTTCAAATAGTATCTGTAAAGAGGAAGGAAATAGCACCTCAATAATGCAACTGAAAATGTGTGTGTACTGTATATTGGGGAATTACAGATTGCTAGGAAGGGAACATATAGAACACTAGTAAATCAGGCCAGTTTTGAACTTTAAACCAAAACTTTACTGAACTCATTGAGTAGCAGCACACTTTATTCCAGTGGTTAGTTCTCAAATATTATCATTAATTATTGCTTTATATATAAAACTACAGAACTGTTGTTCTTTAACATTTATGTCCTAAATTAACTGTGACTATACAGTGCCACAGAGCTGATTCTTTACACTTAGCACTGACAGCTACAGTTCTTGATTGCTTTAGCTGCAGAAGAAGTGAGAAGTAGAGAAGGATGAGAGAAGTTGGAAGTGATGCTGGCTTGTCATCTTCCATATCCAATTACCCTTTACGTGCTTGATTCTTTAATGCTATTTTGATCTCCCAAAAATGGGATCTTCAACTGCCAACAGTGCTGCTTCTCCTGTTCTTTTTCCCCCAGACATGCTTCTTGTGTGTTAGCAGGATGCCTGTCTGTTTGCATCCCTTATGCTTATCTTGTCCTTTGTAGCAACTTTTTGTTGCCTGGAGGCCTCCTATGAGCAAATAACTGTGTCTTGTTTGCCTGTTTGGTGGTCATGTTGCTCACATACTTAGTGAGATGCTTATATTTACCATAAGACTGTTGCAATATATTATCTACTGCTGTTAGTTACAATATTTTAGTATGTTCATACCTGGGCAGAAGGAAAGCTAAGATTAATTATATCCTGAATATTGCGTTTCTAGTTCATACATGTCACACATGACTTCTTTGATTATGGCAAATTTTGAGAAGGAGGGAAAAAATATATTCATAAAGTTGCTGGTGTATATTGCTTCCAGAGAATGGATGCTTCATCATTGCACTTGGGACATCAGCAAGAGTCTTGTAGGCAAAGTTTATACTGCATTGGTGGAGAGAGGGACAATATAACCTCTTCAGGTCTGTCTGCTCTGTTATGAGCCTAGTTACCTGGAGGGGAAAAGTTCATTTCCACAGTGGCTGAGAGCAATTGGACTGTATACTTGTTCTACCCTGTGCAGGTTGTGTAGCACAGGCACCACCTGTAATAACAGCTGTCCCCTTTGGGCATGGGGAAGGCCATCTAACAGCTTCTTGTTTGTTACAACCTAGCTGGTAAGTAATTTGACACAGACCATGCAGAATGGGCTCTTTCAGGGTTAAAAGCAGAAGAGTTGTTCCCCACAGCATCTTCTTTTGTCCTTCAAATTTTTAGCTTTGGCTGCTCTGACCTTCTTTTTCTTTTCATCTCCTGCACTCTGACAAGGTATACATCTTAGGAAATTGCACCTACCAGCAGCTCCCACGCAAGGAGGCTTGGCTGCTGGAATCAGTTTGCTCTTTGTCAGGTGGTGAGACACTCGGAGCATTGAAAGGTGTTCCCCCTATATCTTTCTTTGCTTTTAATTATTTATTTTTTTTTTTTGGTGGCTGGATGACCACAGCAAACAGCAGTCACCTGGAAGTTATTGCTGTGAGCTGAACAGGTGATTGCAGGCAAAAGCCAGGCAAAAATGATAGATGGAAGAGAGAAGGGAAGCAGAGGGGAGCCTGTGCACAGTGCATATTAGAGAACTCACTTTTCATTAGCACAGAAGTCAGTTTAAAGGAGCAACAGTATTTCCAGCTTTTCCTTTCTGTGTCAGACAAGATTTCTTTGAGTGCAAAAGGAAAAAATAAGTCTTCTTTCTGCTTTCATGGGTAAAATTAAAGTAGTTCCCTATTTATCTCAGCAGGTATTTTAGCTCCATCTATTCTCTATGTCTTTCTACTTCAGTATTTCAGCTGATATTTAAATTTTAGAACTCAGAACTCTTAAAAATAATTTCCCAGCTAAGTGTTTCACACTAAGAATTTGTGACATAGATGTTAGTTCTGCAGTATTAATATTTGCCCTGGTGTCTAAGGCACGGCTTGCAGACCTTCCAGATCTAGATCTGCAGAAAAGATACAGACAAAATTACAGTGGGCAACATCTGTGATGTGCTGGTGCATCTAACCTCCTGCTGCTGTGAGAGTCACTGAAGGCAGGGGATCACAGCAGTGTGTTATCCCAGGCAGGGCTCACACTAGGCTGGAAACAGGCTGTTCCCCTTCACCTGAGACTTAACAACACGGATTCCAAACATAAGAAGGTACACCTATCGTTTTGTTTCCATAGACAGAGCATCCACGTGGATCTATAGTATCAGTTGCTATGGGTTAGGCTAGAGATGAATTTTGCTCAACATAAAATCAGGGTAAATCACAGATGTGTAAGAGGGGGCTGTTATGAATGATGGAAACAAGTTCTACAGGTCACTACCATTTTATACTGATACATTTAGTGAAACTTAGGTAGTAGAAGTGTGAATACTGTGAAAGAAAGATCAGAAAATTAAACTGTTGGGCTCTTTTTCTTCATTGGTGATTTAGTAATTATCTAAGGTCAAGCACTGGGCAACTCTGATTTTTTCAAACTCGGCTAGTCTTTTAGTTTCTAGAATCTTTCTGAGCCTGAACAAACCTTTGATAAAAATGTCACATTGCTGAAAGGGATACAAGAAGTCCAAGCAGGTTCTGTTTCTCTGCCTGACAAGCTTTGAGCAGCTGCCATTGAGCCCAGCTTTTACTGAGAGTAAGAGATAGATGCAGTTCCAACCTTCCTGGAGGAAAAAGCTCTGCAGCCACAGAAGAACAGCTGTCTCTTGTGAGATGAGAGTCTGCCTGTCAGCACATGGCTAAGAGCAGACTAGAGCCTGTTTAGCCCACTTTGATAAAGTACCCCAGAGGGTGGGACTAAAGTGTTGGTGAGACAGAAGGGGAGAGGGTTCGTACCTGAATAACAGAACCTCCTTATGATGATTGAAATAAACTAAACTCGAGCGTCCTTTATTTAACACAAATCCCATTCATAATTGCTGATCTGCTGGAGATCAGAGGTGTGAGAAGGATTTTGTCCTCATTTTTGAGGCAGCTTTGGGAGAGAGGATGCTTGCTGGTGCTTTGTGCAGGTGGTCAGGGGTATCTCTGCAGCACTTTCTGTGAAGGAGAATTCCCAGGGATGAGGGAGTGAAGAGCTCCCATGCTCAGGGCTGAAAGACTGGGACAGACACTCCTGTGTCAAGGCACTATTGCCAGTGCCTTCCATTCTCATAGGTTTGCAGACTAGCAGACTGTGGCCAAGAAAAGGTACTGTTTGCTCATAAAGCTGTTCTGACATATGTTGGCTCATGCCTTTCCAGCAAGTCTATAATCTCTCCAGGGAAGGGACTCTCAGCTTGTGTTAGTTTGCATAGTGCTGAGTACAGTGGATCAGCCTTTGCACATTATCCAGCAAACAGGCAATTTTAACATGTTATTGTCAGTTTGCATTAGCAAATCCTGACATTGCCTCTTTCCCAATTATAGTTGATTAATGCTTATCAAAAAGAGACATGTTGCTGTACTTGTGTGCCCATGCACTTGTTCTTGCTTATTTCCACCAACATAGGACTCTGGGTGTGTCAGAAAGTCTGAACTTTATGAGATTTTTGGCCCTTAAATTGGATGTTTGATAGAACTGAATTTGTGTCTCAGTGGTTACCATCCCTTTTGGCTAACTTACTGCTAGCCCAGACTACCTGGTTGTAATTAACTTGAATTTTTCTTTCACAAATGAACACCAAGGATCAGATTTCCCTTCACTGGTGTCAATCTACTGGCTGTGTTGAGTTTATTCACCCTGACATAAATGAGAACAAAACTAGGCTCTAAAGCTTCTATATCAGTTGCTTTTGGCAATCTGTGGTCCATTGGAGCTGAGCAGAAAAGAGAATACCTGACCTTTGTTACTGGTAACATGTAAGACATATGCTTCAACTTTTGCAGGTAACTGGACTTAGTGGTTTTTAAAGGAAAGCACAGAAGCCCTGAGAAAAGGTTCCTCCTTTTCCTTTTTTTTTTTTTTTTTTTGCCAGATACGGACTAAAGCTGAGAACTACAGAGACTGCAGCAAGTTGGTTGTATGCAAGAAAAGTACTGCACACAAGGAAAGTACTGCATAACAGCAGCTGTGTGCGTACTTCTCAGCCCTGTCCTGGAGCAACCCTCCCCTTTCGCTCTGGATGAGCAAACACTGATAATTTTTTGGTGCTGCTGGGTCCTGCCTCTTGAGGCTGCCTGCAGAGAGACAGTGATGACAAGGACAGTGGGGCACCAGGGACTAGTCTCAGAGCAGTTAATTCTGCCAGCAGTGCTGAGGAATTTACCAGGATTTTTGGCCATTGCTGTTGTCAGCAGAATTTGAAATAGCTTGCTAAAGACAAAGGTGTCTATATGCCAGTCCTAAGCTCTCTGCAGCATGCAATTCCCTCTGGTTTATTTTAGTTTAGTTTATTTAAAACTGTATTTTAACATCATATGTATGACATATTTTCACCCTCCTTGTTTTTGTAAAAGTACATTAAAAAAAAATAATGGAAGTGTTTTGAACCTTGAGAGAAGCAGTTCAGTCTGGCAAAAGCTTCTGGGTGACAGGCTGTTCTAGCTGACCTTATTCTCTTAACCTTATTATATACCAAAGCACTGACTAACACTGTACCTTGTTAGCCTCTACTGGTGGAGGCAAAGCTGTCCTCTCTCTGGCAGGCACCCTGCCCTGATAAATGCCAATCAACTTTCCCCATTGGATCCAGTTTAAAATATCTGTGATTTTACAGCAGCACTGATTTCTCAGTTCTGAGTGCAACAAAGTACTTAACTGCTAAGATTTAGTAAGAAACATAGAGAAAGTTGTACTTGATCCTTTAAATAAGGCAGAGTACAAATCCTTACTGGGCTTGAAGATGACTGGGTCTCTTTCTGGGATTCTAAAACTCAGAAACAATTGTTTTATTATTTCTCATTTCTGCAGATTATAGTGACCCTCTGCTCTTTTAGTAAAAGAAACAGCTGTGTAGGAAATAAGACTTTTCTCATATTTGTAGGGCACAACATATCATGGAAACCATTATCCTTTAAGGGATTCCATCTTGGTTCTGAAGGGACAAGAGCATTTAGAAAGACTATGTTTACCCAGACCAAATAAACTAATATGAATACAACAAAGCCAGCCTCTTCTGAAGTAAATCTAATGGGAATAATGTTGAAACCTCACTTCTGACTATAAACTTCCCCTTGCCACCCAAAAGGAAGACTGCAATTAAAATCTGCCCTTTTCCTGCAGTGGTGCTGCTAAATAAATGAGTCACCTGTGAACTACAGGGCAGTAAATACATCCAGTGACATCTCATAAAGCAAGGCAGAGTGAAGTTCCAGTACTTTATGGTGTCACCAGAATCCTGTGATGTATTTATAGCTAGCTTCACAGGTTTTGCCTTTTTTCATTATTTATTTTTATGGTGTACTCCTAGAGTTTGGTTTTCTTGGCCCTTCTCATTTTTGCCTAAGGCAGTTTAACCACTGGTTTCCAGCAAAGGAAGGTTGGTAGGCAGAATGTAGAGCAAATCCCCATCAGAGGGCCAACACACAGCCACTCTATTTCTCCTGTTCATGGACTGTCCAGGCATTTTCTGTCTCTGGCCAGGGCAGTCTGAAGTGATGCTCACCTTTGTATGTCCTACCAGCACCTAGGCTGGTACCTCTGTATGTGGGGAAGGATTGGTGGCAGACTGAATGAGGAAAAGGAGCAGTGATTTGTTTTTGAGCTTGGTAATTTATTGGCCATTGTGGGCTCTGTCTCCCACAGCAACCCAAGAGGTAGGTGGGCAGCATGAACAGGGGATTGTGTGAGGAGAAGAGGATGTGGCCTGTTGGACTGTTAAAGGGGAATTAAAAGCCGAAGGATGCTACCACAGTTTAGTCAGAGAAACAACCTCTTCTGTTTTCTTCTCTTTCAGTAATAGGGCAAATAGCTGCAGGACAGGGGCAAGGAGCGTATCCATGCAGTTCCCCTGCTCTTATCTCTAGAACTGCACTTTCTAAAACATTTATATTTTCCACACAAAGTGATGAATTTTCCACCCCTGCCTCCTGGAAAGCAGCACTGAGTCCTCAGTGTTTAAACCTGTAGCACCTGTAGCCCCTTTGACTCATCCTGTAATATGTGACACGTTCTGTCCTTTTTGTAATGCTGTAGCCAGAGAAAACAGAAAGTAAGATGATGGGAGGCAGATCTTTGTTGCATTGCTTATAATTATCTGGTCTGAAACTCATTCAGATTTCTTTTATTTTACAAATCAGCTACTCAGTGATGTGTATTTAATACCTGTCCTTCTCCTCTTCCCCTGAATCAGGCTCCCTACAGCTTAACTACACAATAAATTTTTTGGAGTACTTTGTCCTGTGGACTGCGGGAAAATTAGGACTTCTGTGATGAGGGATTCAAGGGTGCTGACTCATGGGTCAGCAGCCCTTCAAGGTGTGATGACAGGTTACATTCCCCCCTTCCCCCAAGTACATATTTATGTATGTGGTATCCCACCACATGTATGGCAGCAACCTCAGTTTCCTCAACAAAACTCAAGACCAGGAAAAGTTGTTTTGCACAGATAAAACTGCTCTGTGCCCTCTGTATGGCACTGCAAACTTGCCATCCAGGAGGCACCTGCACTGCAGGGTACTCAGTCCTGTCACCACATGGGTGTCCCATTGTCAGGAATGCTGATATTCACGCTTTAAGGCCAGCAAATTGCCACCAAATCAGTCAAACAGTTTATAATAACAGCATGTAGTGCTTGGGAGGGAGAATCTCAGTGTCTGTTCAGTTCCCATGTCTATCAGTCACTCACTGGCTCAACATGACTGAGCCTCTGTTTCCTTATCTACAGAATGGCAAAGCAATACCTAAAGCTGTTGAATGGCTTCATTAATAAAAGATTTTAAAGCACTCTGAGATTCTTAGGTGGCAGATGGGAGATAAATGTGAAGATAATATTCTTGCTTTTCACAATCACTGATTAAACCCAGCAAAAGAGCAAAGCATTTCTGGATGTTTAGCCCCTGATTTAGATCACTTATACTCTAAGTTACTAGAAAATAAATTACAAGCATATCAGGCTCAACTAATAGTATTAGGTGTGCAACTCAGGCTGATCATTACAAGTTACTGACATGTACCAAATTGAGATCAATGACGGAAAACAGAGCACCTCAGTGTTAGGGAATAGTCGAGTCAAACAGCAGCTTTCAGAGGCGCATGCGTGCACACCTACAAACACGGCTCTAGAGGGGAAAACAAAAAACTTACAGTCATAAACAATTTATTCGTTTGTATGAATAAATGAAAGGGAAGGAGGCAGTGCAGTGCAAGGTGAGTCCTGGGGCTGGCTGGCTCCTTTTCTAAAGCTCTTTATTGACTCCCTGAGTGATCGTGTGTAAGTCACTTCACTCCTCGTGCTTGCCTTTCCCACTGTGACTGGGGATTTTTGCAATGCAAATTGATAGGCAGTAAATTACTAGATAAAGCTACTGCATTTGTTTATTAATTTATGGGCTGCAAACTCCGGCTGCATTCCTCACTCTCCGAGGATTAAGTGCAGATACTCCTGCTTGGACTACACCTATTGTTGCAGGAGCCTTAAAAAAAAAAAAAAAA